TATATATATACACATACATATAATGAAATTAACTATTTTGCGCATATTGCTAATTTCTCCCCGAATAAGTCTGTGGCAAAGAGACTCTGAACAGATTCTTTTGGCATGAAGAATAGACATGTATGATTCTCTTTGTTACGATCACCACAATATAGTCTCAGTGATCTATTATATAATATATGATAAAAATAATGAGGGAAAAGAAAATATTGTAGCATTGATACGAATTGCACCAAATTATGATCGGCGAGCAATGCATGTGTTTCGTCTTACAATTAGTTCAAAGTGTCTCTTGGAAATATAGTGACTTTTATGTATATATTAATTCATAAATTCAATTTTTCTACCGCTAGAAAAAGATTTTTATTCACTATCTCTCGGTAAGAGCAAATTATCGAGAATATTTTTATCCACTCGAAATTAGTGTTGAAACTGTATATATCATATATTTGTAGATACATATTTAAAAAACTGTATATACCATATATTTGTAGATACATATTTAAAAAGTCACTACGTTTTTGACAAGAGATACTTCAAATTAATTGGAAAACGAAACGCATGCACGTTGTCTATCGATCGTTCGTGATAATTTAATGCAATTCATATCAATATTTTCCTTTTCCTTGTTAATCTCATCATCACATGTAATAGACAACAGCACCGAGATTACTATTGTATTTTTTAAATATTACAAAAGATCTCTATTTGTATTTTTCATAATACTTTTCACAAATAAGCTTCGTCTTCCGTGTTCGACGCTAATTTTCAAAAAGAAAAATTACATTGGATGAATTTGTACAATCATTTATTGTAAAATTACAATGACATAACAGCGTTAGCATAAACATATGTTTGTTTAACGGTCAATGTATATACTGTGACTGTGCTATTTACTGATCGCATTGACTGTCGAAATCAATTATAAGTTATATCGTAAAAATTATAAGAAAATTCTTCCAGATATAAAAAAATATATTCATTAATCTCGAGTTTTTTTTTAAATATTTTGGATAGTATCCTTCATATTCTTTTATTGGTAAAATGTATATAAAAATAATTTATAATGCACATAGTTGTGTCAGTTTGTAAAATATATTACCATATATTCGTGAATAGATTTTTTTCCGCGTTTTAAGAGCCTTCCGTGCAAATGGATTAGTATGACAATCAATTTGAAAAATGACATTGAATAACAGTTATCGTGACTGCAAATGTGAAGGCGACTGTGTGTAATCGAGGAAACTAAAATCCATGAAATATTTATAAAAAAATTCGCATCTGAAATTCGGCTTTGCAAAATCGTACAAAAGTTGTTGCACTAAAAAAATACGTTGTATAAAAGAAAACTGTGAGCTATTATATACTTAAAAATACATAATTCAATTATTGCTATTATGCTATAACTATTTACGTCTATATTTGACAATTGTTTGATGGATCGAGACGGAATACGTTCACTTTGGGATACAAATAGATATGAATGGAAATTATACTGACTGACAAGGAGATGGCACGGAATCAAATTAGAGATATTATCATTCATTCGAAAGGAAGATTAAATGTATTAATAATCAAATCAGCAGACAATATTTTTAAAACATTTTTTAAATGTTTATTTAACGTAAAAATATTTAATAAATATTTAAAAAATATTTTTTTAATATTGTGTTGATTAAGAATGTAAAGGGATTAGAAAATAAGTCTTTCTGAGAGTTGCAGTTAAAGGAGGAAGTGAGATCTGACGAGCTATGTTAAATTATTAGAATCCTGCATGATAAACAGGAAAGCTAACAGTGCTGAGGCGCACGTATTATATTTTATCGTCCATGACCATCGCGACCAACGAAGTGCGAATTTACCAAGAGTACCAACTTTTTTAAAAATATATTTAGGTAATATATATTTTACAATTTAATAAATTTTTGTCTTTAGTCTTTTAAATAAAGACATCACACAATATTCATATGTGTTTATATATATTAGTAATTTCAGCCACACTGCTTTCTTGTTTATCAATCTAAGGTTCTAGTACTTAGCTAATCGGATTTCCAACTTCAATTGCAATTTTCTCAGAAATTTTTTTTCATTTTAACTTCTTTACATTTTTGATACACTCAAATCTATCCTTTCGAATAAATTATAATTATTTACTATCATTTCATTTTATATTTAGCATTTCGATTGTACCATCTCTTTGTGAATATTATATTCGGGCAGTGCGAGATCATTACTGCTCCTCAAAATATGTTATCAGACAGTATATACAAATTCATATTATGCTTAATTCTATTTAAAATCATGATCAACAATTTTCTCATTTAATTCTTTCAACGGGCTATTCACGATCGATCAGCTCTACCAGTGTTAAAAAATATGTTGATTTGATGTATTATTATTGAATAAAATGTATATGTATACATTTTCAATATATGGATGCAACAATGATCTAATGCATGCAATAATGAGCGAAATTAACGCCTAAATGAATATTAATGTTTTCCAATTTGTAATTCTTTTAACTTCATGATGTTACGAAATAAAATCTCGAAAAATTCCATCTAATAATATTATGTTGAATAAATCTGTTTTATGTGAATGATGAATTGGCAAATCCATCTTTAACATTGGATTGTACGATATTGCGACGAACGCGAATAACGCTTACTGAATACCTTTTGAACAATGATAATGAATATCCGTATCGTCTAATCGTCATTATCGCTATTGATTTTATTATCTATATCATTGTATATATCCTCATATCAGCTATCAGGAACCTAAAATTAAATAATGTTTAAAAAAATTAATTTAATGAAACTTATAAATCGATATTCATAGTCAGTTCTTATATTCAAGACCATTTTAAATTCTGTCTTGAGGTATCATCACGAGTAATCAATCAGAGACCCGTCATTAGCGTCTTAAGTCTTTGAAATACGAACCAATTATGAATATCGGCCACAGACATGATATTTAGTAATATAAAATGTAAGAATTTTCATTCTTACTTTCCATTGTAATTGGCTGCCCACTTCGTAAAGTTCTTTCAATGTTTCTGTCAATGTGCCAGAACTTTCTAGTTCTTTGTACTTGCGATACAATTCTAAAGCTGCTCGCGCATCTTCGGTTGAATCGTGAGTTTCAGATTGAATGTTTTTACCCAAAAAGTGCCAGGTCAAGAAACGTAACGACACCATACGATGATGAGGTAAATGAAACAACAAAACTGTATCTACTATTTGTTCCGGCGGCACTACCAAATTTATTACTCTGCAAAGTTCATACATTAAAAAAAAATATATTACCGACCACCATCATAGATATTAAGATAATATTTTACCTAAAATCGTTTTTCAGGCCGTGTCCCACAAAAATTATACCATTGTCCACTAAAAACCTCAACTTTTGATACGTTGATTTCAGAGTTGTGAGATGTTTGCTACTAAAATTCGCATCTAAATCACCCGGTTGGATTCCACTGAATTTTGTTAAATAGTCAACTACCTGTTCCTGAGTGCTTATATAATCATCTATAAACGGTGTACCTTCCAAAGGACCTTGTCTACTAATTAAAAATAAGAAAATACTATATATAGATTTAAAATAACTTGAATATTATCATATTAAGCGCATTTTTTATCTAATCAGATTAAAATCTCTCCACTCATGAACCATTACTGTTTATATTAATAGTTCATAAAACATACCCTCGTATACAGGTGATTCGCGCGACCGACATATGGCTCGGTTTTATAGTTGACATCTTTCCATCGCTTCGTAATTCGGATTCTTCCTGATTTAAAGTAACGAATTCTGCATCGATGCCTACCAACTCTCCTGCAATTACAATAATTTGAGCACACTAAAAAGGACGAGCCACATTAAAAATGTACAATAATTTTCTTTCTTCCTTTCTATTTCGTATAAAAAGTGAAAATACAAAGAGATTATACGACAGAGAAATCTACCTTTCTTAGGCATTTCATCTGATGCTAGAGGAGTAAATGTAATTCCTCTAGTTCCACCACTGCGAGCAATACATTTATCTTCTCCAAAAACATCATACGTAAGAGGACTGACGAACTGTGTTGGTTCAGGAGCAGGTATCGCTGTATAATGAAGTACACACGGCACTTTCCAATCGAGATTAAACCATACCGCTTCTTGAGGAGTCACTGGTTGTATACTATAACAAGTATCGATATTAAATGATGTTAAAATGTGGACAACTTTCTTTTCCCAGATGGAAATAACTTACCAGAAATCATTAAAAATGTACCATTGCGATACGGCATTGCCTGCCGATCGTTCATGATAATTTGGTCCAACTCGTAACAGTGCTACAATATTTCTCCGTTCCTCATTATTTTTATCGTCGATATAACAGACGACAGCACTGAGACCATACTGTATCCTTTGAGTATTATAAGAGATCTCCAGATTTGTACTTTTCACAGCTTCTTCATCTTCTGTTATACTGCAATTTCCAATCTTCGATGTTAAACAATTTTCAATATTTTCCTCACCGTTATTCCCAGAGTTCTCGGAAATAACTTGTACTGTTCTGTCATCTTGACCGTTCTCCATCATGCTTGTCTGTATGAACATATCATTTAATTCGCTTCTTGGTTCGCTGATTTTTTTAATTGCCATTTCTCCGTTTTCTTCAATGGAGATTTCTATGTTGTGGGGTATCCATGAATGCAAGTAATATAAATGACTAGGAGGCGATGTAACGGGCGCTGTCGATGAGATAGATGGTGTGGAGGTCGACGTTAATAATTTTTCTGTTTCTGCACAGTAAAATATGGTTAGCGTTAATTCAAAGTAACGTGTTTAATCTCTACATTAAAGTATTTATGTACCTGAGTCGCGTCCAACGTGCCTAAATCGACATCCAGTTCGCGTACAATTGTTGCCATATCGACAGGGCTTCGCAGTAATAGGCACAGGACTCGAGTTGGGACTGCTCTCTTTACCCGTCAACACATTTTGCACCACGATGTCCATTTGATTTTGCCAAAACGCTTTGTCCTGTAATAATTCATAAAATGAATGAAGCGTAATATGCGATTTTCGTTCTTTGATTCTGCGCACGCTACAATTGTACATCTAATCTGATGTTGTAAGTACCTGCTGAGTATCTAAGCCACAATTTAGAGCCAGTATTTGAGGTAGTTTAGTCAATTGTCGAGACTGGAGAGTAGGTGTAAATTTCTGACAATTGTCACACCATGCGGGTGTAATTTTCTCAGGTCTTAAACTGCGGGCAAGAACATTTGTGAACGGTACCTCTTCAGCTACAAAAGGTAAATCTTGTGTTCAGCCGCGAGTATAGATATGTGTATTAAGCTAAGATGCACAAAAAATCAAATGAGCGTGTAAGATATTGAAAATTATATTTTGAACGTTATATCACAATCTTTACGAAATTTTGTGGATATTTGAAAAAAATGTAAAAATTTATCTGTAAATATGTATCATATTATTAGACTATACTTACTTTATCTTATATTTATTTGCTTTAAAATATTCGAATGATTAAATATATACAGTCAAAGTTTTCAATTTACACGCTAAATTCAGATTTTCTGTCCAGCCAAAGCATTGGACACATATTGCTTGACAATAGCTTACAAGGATTAATTATTTCCGGATAAACTAAGTTACAAAGTAACATGATAGAATGTTTTGTAGCTTCTTGCCCACATTTGAGACAGCGATGTATGTGCATTTGTTCAGATCCAAATAGACGACTGATCTCTGTTTCATCATCTCGCACTTCATTCTCTTCGGTAGATTTTTTGGTGGTCTTGTCTACTCGTAATAATGCATTTAAAAGTAAAATAAATGAATATTATTAACGATATCATTAGAATTGAGTATAAATATTTTTTCACTAAAAAAATATGTGTAACGATTTTGTAATAGTAGCGTGATACATATGCGTTTGTAATTCATGTTTTGTAATAATTTTAATGTTTCAGTTTATTTATTTATTTATTTAGTTCAAAATATTATGTCAAACTTAGAAAGTTCGATATAATCTCCCTCTTGATTTTTTAACTAACTTTAAGCAATGCACTAGATATTGTTAAGATAATTTTGATTATTTTTTAAAATGAAATTATCAATTAGATAATTTAACACCTTAGTGTTACATATTGATATCTTTAATGCATCGATATTATTCACATATTTTTTAAATTGCAAGATTTTGTAATAATTATATATATGTATAATTATTATTATAATAAAATCATAGAATTAAAAAAATATATGATTAATATCGATACACACACACACACACGCGCGCGCGCGCGCGCACGCACACACACACACACACACACACACAAAAATAAACATGAAAGCAAAATCATGCAATTTTTAAAAAAGGATAAAAAGGGTTAGCTGCTCTTCTTACTATAAAAATACATATGCATAATATATATAGAAAAAAAGCGATTTAAGGTAAGCGATACAATACCATAACTTGGTTTAATATGAAATCAATAAAGATATATTCTAAAAAAATATATGCGTCGGCGTACATTAAGAAAGTTGTGAGATATCCTAAGAATGCAAGATTATAATAAATAATATAATATAATAAGAATGCAAGATTATAATAAATAAAATTGGAAGGTAGTTTATTAAAATGAAAGTAATGTTTTCTGCATCATTAGATATAAAAAATTATAATTACAATTATACATTAATCATATAGTTCTCATATAGTCGTTTCTTACTCTTCGGATATATCAACTTTAAAGCAAATAAAAAATCAAATAAATCACATATAAATTGAAAAATAAACACAAAAGTGCCCAGTGCAAAGGTTACACATAAATTGTGTTTACCTTTCGATGTGATCCACATATATTTACCATCCTCCTCTTGCTTCCTCTTTTTTTTTCTCTCGTCATCGTGACTCCTATATCGAGAACCAAGGTCCTCAAGGATGCTAGGAAAATCCTGTTCATTATAAACAAATGGAGGATATTTGGAATCTGATTTAAGTCGCGCTGCTTCCTCTTCTTTTTGTTGTCGCTTCCTAGTTTCCAGAATCTCGTAGTGTATTTGATGTAGAATAAATCTATTCCAGCTCTAATACAAAATTCAAACCATAAATAATCTTTGTCAATATATTAAATTTCTAAATATGTCATGCGATTTTTAATGCAATTTTTAATAGAGATTTAAACATTTGGTAAAAGAGCATTTCCAAGAATATAAATTTATAAATTTATACGAAATAATGTTGTAAAAAAGTCTATTTTCTTTCATTTCAAATAAAAACGTATATTTTGAACATTCGTTCTAGCGCAAGTTATTAAAATGTAATTTGTACATTTTCACGCTGATCATTGTAACTTATTGTATTTGTTTATTATCATACTTGTATGAGCACTATCAGATTGATCTTTTTCTTCGATTCTGGATCGTTCAATATAAGTCCTAAAGCTGACGCTTCTCGTACTGTCCTAAAAGCCCTAAGGAAATTTGCAGCTTGGCAGGGAAACCCTCGTGATGTATCCAGCATGTGAAACAAGAATCCCAATTCGCAAGAAAGACAAAACTCTCGTTGACACGAATGTGAGAGCAATGCTACCCTTACAGGTTCGCAGTAGTAAAGCAACTACAAAGCACGAACGTGTGTCTGATCTGTGATTTACTTTATTCGTTGTCCCGACTCACCTCGGACATTATAGTTTTCTTGGGCTTACCTGCAGCATAGCATTGCAATAACTGTTAGGAAGTGTAGCCTCCAGGCCGCAAAAGCTGGTTCGATTGTACTGATCAAAATCGAAATCATCGTAACCAAGCCGTGAGTATTTCAACTCAATTTTACGATAACGCTTAGGTATGGCTACAAAGGTGCCGTCATCTGTTTTAGACCGTGAGTCCCCCACGAAAGGCTTCGCGACTAAGCCACGTCGTGAAGACGTACCCGTTTCCAGATTGTACGGTATCTGCAAAAGAGGTATTATTTATTTTTATTCCACTGTGAAAACGTGTATCGGATATTTTTCGCCAAGATAGTTTCTATCTTATGGAATTTGCCATGCGTTACACGTGAGACATCGAGATAGTTTGTACAGTTTGGTGCATAATAGAAAGTAGACTTTTGGATTGTGAAAAAATAAATAATACCTATATATTAAAGAACGCGTTGTGGGAACTGAATCGATAATACGGCGCATCATATTAAAGTTACGCATTACTGTTGTATATCATACAACCTTTATTATTTCACTCAAATACAATTTCGAGTATACATTTCATGCGGAACATATTTTACATGTAAATATATTAATCGCCTATCGAGATTGTTCATCGGAAATCATTAAACGAAAAGACAAAATGCAATCAATCACAAACACATTGCGCGGCAGTAAAATATCACGCTGATAAGAGCGATCGATAAGCTATAAGGGAATTGTGGATTCTTTTGGCGGAAGGTATATTAGAAACATTTATTCATGTTTCTTCTTCTTTGTCGGTCGTTCTGTAAATGTCAACACAAATAACTATAAACGAAATTAAGACTTATATTATTGATTATTTCAATGCATACGTTTTTTCTTACATGCTACTGTATTTTTTCTGCAATGCAAAAAAATTAATAAGGCCTCAACTTCGCTGATCATAATTAAATTGAAGAGCCCAATTTTTAATTGGGTAATATGCTTTATTAGCAGTTCTTAAAGAAAAAAAAAGAATTATTTTAGTATTGTATGATTTACATAGTAAGAAAAAAATGTATTATACATGTAATATTTAATGATAAAATTCGTCAATTATATGTCACTTATATATTTTTAATTATTTAAACAAAAAATAATAAAAATATATTTAGAATTCAGAGTGCAATTATATGCTACAGCACAGAGATATTGTATTTTTATTACATATTACTTTTTTATATATGTATAAATTTGTTGGCACATTGTTGACAATATTGGATCTATATATTTAGATGTAAATATACAGGGTGTCTGGAAATAATCGCCAAATATTTCATGAACAGGTCGAGCGGACTAAACTGAGTCGAAAAGTCCTCTACCATTTTGTAAATTTCCCCAATAATTAATGAGATATTAATCCTTAAAGATAGCTGAATACGCGCGCTCGCCCGGTTTACTGCGAAGTGTATATGCCTACCGATCGTTTGGCGCGCAAACCTTGGGAGTTGGGGATTGGCTGGCAAACGCCCCACACCGCGCACACCGCTGCAAACCTCCATAGCTCGGATGGCGCGCTTGCCAGGCTATCCCCGCTCTCCATGGCCCGCGCGCCAAGCTAACGGTAGGCGTATACACTTTGCAGTAGTATTCGGCTATCTTTAAGGATTAATATCTCGTTAACTATTGGGGAAACTTACAAAATGGTAGAGGACTTTACTCGACAGTTTAGTCCGCTCTACCTGTCCATGAAATATTTGGCGATTATTTCCAGACACCCTGTATATAAAAAAATAAAACTATTTCATATTTAATGTGAAACATATTTAGAATTGTTCTGATTTAACGTATGTCAAATTTATTTTACTGAACTTCATATAAGCAAAGTATCAAATACTGATCAAATAAAAATAAACAGATTCCTGTAAATGACACTAACAAAAAATATATTTATTATAATAAAAAAATTGATAGTACTTTCATTAATGTAATAATATAACGATATTAATTTGATATTAGTTTTCAAAATTACAATCATATACTTTTTAATATTTTTTAACATTTTAAATATTTTTATCATATATATAGTATATATGGTAAATTGACTATATATATGAAACAAAAAAAACGAGAAAAATAAAGAAATTTCAATATTTTACACGCGCAGTGTATATATAATACATTTTGAGACTGTTTTTTTATGCTATATTATTGTAAAATTAGTAGAGTACATTGGACTAGTTTACGAAAATATATCACGTCTCTTTATAGGCTATATAATAATTATCACGAAAGGTTATCAGTCTTAATCATATATAGCAAATTTTTTTTCTAAAAATTAAACATCACACATTGAGCCTTAATTTTCACGTCAATAATATATTGTAATTGGTCAATTAAATTGCTAGTGAAACCTCAAAATCATGAAAGAATTCATTTGTATATTAATATACTTTTGAAATATATATATATATATGTATATTAATTCAGATAGCAATTTTCACGTCAATAATATATTGTAATTGATCAATTAAATTGCTAGTGAAGCCTCAAAATCATGAAAGAATTTATTTGTATATTAATATACTTTTGAAATATATGTATATTAATTCAGATAGCAATTTAATGATATACAGAGGCAATATTAAATTTGAAATCAAGTCATAAGCAGAATAGATTTCAAAATTTGATAAACAAAAATAGGAAAAATTAAGAATTTATGAACGGAGTTTAAGATAATTTGAGAAGAGACGGAGGAGAATATTGTAATAGAGTGGGAGAATATTGTTTCCTCACTTGATTTCTGCGAAAAGCCTGAGGATTTGGCGCGTATCCTATTGTTCCCTGCATTTTCATTGTGCGTAAGATTTCAGGATCTATTGGTGGAGTTCTCCTGTGAAAGAAAAATCAAGTTACCTGTTCCTCGGTTATACAAAAACGGAAACATACAGGAGAGACCTACCTATAAACTTTTTTCAAGTATTCTTCAGGCCAATCACTTAGAAGTGGTTGATCTGAATATACCATTGGTATTGTACTGTATGGCGTAATATCGTCATCAAAAGGAATCGATGGTATTGTCTCAATTGGATCGGCAAATTCCGTAGGCCTAAGCAAAATAAAAATATACATATACCTAGATTTTATTCTTTATTATCTTTATATTCATTTTCTAACTATTCTTGATTTTATATACGTAATATAAATGTGTCAATAGATTTTAGTATGTCAATAGATTGTGTTAATAATTATTTCAGTATATAAAAATTATATAATTCGTATTAATTTTAAAATTGATTAAAATAATTACTGACCTAGAAAATGTATTAAATTGAGGTTCCGGGGTGTTGGTGGACATTAAATGTATAGAGCCCGCCAAATCTCCAAAGCAAAGACATTGAGATGTAGGAGCTACATCAAATGATAATATCGTCGCACCGCCAGTAGCAACCTAATAATATACGATACAATTTCTGTATATAATCTCTGCATATTTATTTTAATAAATTTCTTAAATTTTTTGCTTAAATTGTGAACACATATAATAAATTTACCTGATATAAACACGTTACTGAAGGTTGTACATTAGCATATATTGTATCAAGTAGTTGCATTTGTCCTAGTGGCGATACCACCGCGAGCCGACTGGAATAACTTGGTAGGAACTTTAATAAAAGAGGATATACCATAGTTGTGACTGGACTTAATGCTCTCATTTGTCTCAAATCATAGGCCATTAAAAATCGATCAACAGTAAGACCCTGACGACTAAATGTAATCCATAAATGTTTATAACATATGTGTGTCAAGTATATAAAATGGTTAAAAACTTTTTGATTATCTTATGCCTTACCTATTGCTGAATCCACATGTAACAAGATAATTTCCTTGAACATCGAAATCACTTAAGGAACCACTGTGTGTATCCAAAGTATGTTCTATTGATAATGTATTTGGATCCCTGAGATCTATTCTTCCCGCAGGATTTCCAGCACATATAAGCCTACTATGTTGTCTCAATATCGCACAACCATTCTCATCTACATCCATCTACAAATATAACATAGGCCCTAATTTTTCATTATCTGATTAACTTATGATTGAGCTTAATTTGATGTTTCATTCAATGGGCTTCGTCCACGACATCATAGATGAAGCTCATTGGATAAAATATCAAGCTAATTACAAATCAATGAAAGAAAATGAAAATTCGAGTCATAAAGCCATCGCTTCTCGTACTCGGAATTAATTTAACATTTAGTTTAGTTGATAGATTCTTACTAATCCAGTCTCTTTTCCTCTAGTAAGGTTAAAATCAATTATTTTGTCCTGATGTCCACCCATAAGTAATCTGGCTGGGGAAATTTGTAACATACATTGCATATCGTTCATATTCATCGACCTATAACAATCTAGGTTTGCTCAAATCCGTGGATAATAAAATATGAACATAATACAAAATATGAACATACGTATGAGTAAATATAGGTATGCCTCTTCGCAATTGGCATCTCAATTGACATTGAGACAACACTAAAATACCCTCGTCTACAGTATGAATTTGTCGTATCTCCTGCGTTGCATGGACTTGAAAAGAGGTATATTTTTGTAAACCAGGCCCATAATAGGATGTTACGTGACCCTACAACAAATTAAGTATTAAAAATACGACAATATGATGTAAAAGGCTAATAATAAGAGTCAAAAGATATAAAAAGTTTCCATTATTCATTTAACATGAGTATAATTACAACATAATATAAAAAAAGAAATTATAAAAACCGCAGAAAATAAGAGTCTGAAAACGTTACAGAATACAATACAGAATGCAATACATATTTCGACCTTATATTTAGGTTCGCTTCAGATACAAAAATTTAGGCACAGTAAAATTAATATGAAAAGAAAAAGAAAGCGACAGTTTTGTTGCACAATTAGAGTGTTAAGTCAGAGAAACGAAAAATTGCTCGTCAGACGATGGATGATCGATTGTGAAAGATTTCTCGTTATTCTAGTGAGAACAAAGAAATAGAAGAATATTAGAAGTTATCAAAACTAAATTAAAACAAGCATAATATTCTTCTCTTATATACTCTTCTCTGGTAAAAAAAACTCATCTCGGAGTCCGACAATTGAGAAAATCCAATGTTAATATTGAAATAATCATCAGTAATATGATGTCAAAAGAGGTACAAAATTAGTATCACAATTATAAGTGTATAACGTTCAATGTATAAAATAAAATAAAGAAAATCATCTAACGCTCCCAACGGAATCAATAGTACTGCGAAAAATTTTTCGGCAATGCAAAATCAAATATTGTTTACAATAGGAATATACAATTTATGAAGACTTTCTGTATTTACCTAGAGATTAAGATTATCATTCTATTTTTTAATGTTAAGCATGTCTGAGACAAGATTTTTATTATAAACCAGTTCTTCGTCAAAGATCTGAATGTTGTGCCAATAAATTTGTATTAAATTATAATAAATATTAATATAATAATGAATAAAAAATTTGATATAAATAATATCAATAACATACCCCTTGATTCCCCATCCACATAAGTTCTTCGATCGTATCGAAAGTGGCAGTGGAAACTCCAAATCTATCCCCGCCATCGGCGAGCAATGTTCTAGTTTCGTGAAACTCGGCTCCAGAAAAGTCCTCTCCAAACTGTTCCGTTGCACGTACATATTCACCTCCAGGTACGACATAATTACAATCGTCCCCTGAAATGAGAATCGATCAGTCGAGATTCATACAAGTATACCTTTCTTTTACATACATAATCTCAAAAGCAGAAAGATATTCCTTTCTTACTAATTCAAACACTTTAGCAAAATTTTCATTTTATTTGCAATTTATTTGTCATAAATAATTAAATATAAACAAAATATAAAATGTATAATTGATAATTGTTTTTGTAAATTATATCTTTGTTGAAATGCGATAAAGTTATCTATACAGCTTCTACTTCTAAATATAAGCTGCGCAATTATAATATAAATAAAATACAAAAGAAAATACAAAATACACGTATGCTTTTCAAGAGTATATAATTTATTGTATATTGTTGATATAGTGGATATAGACTACAAATATCCAAAATAATATTTTTACTGACGTAGCGATTATATTTACTCACACATTTGCTAAACAATGATGTACTAAAAAACAAAGAAAACTTTCTAAAAAATGAGTTTTGAATTAATAAAATTTTGTAATATTAATGTAAAAGAGCAATTTTGATATAATAATAAATTGTAGAAAAATAAAAGTATTTTTTTTCTTTATGTTCTTTTTCTGCAAGATAATAAAAAATAATCATTTTAATTATGTCGTTATTACAACAAATGAGATACATACAAGGTAGAAACAAAGTATAATAATCGATTTCAAGAAGAAAACAATTTGATCATTACTGCTTCAATTTTCGTAATCACTGTATTAAGCTTGGAGATAACAAAGGACAATCTTGGCCACGCTCGTGCGTGTTGGAGAAACAGCTGATGCCAGCTGATATTCTCGGCCGGATCGGCGATATTCCGCGCGTAAACGTTCGAAAGCAAACGAATGTCGTGAAAAGTAGAAACAGATGCGAGGAACTGATAAAGGTAAAAAAAAAAACGCAGGTAGAGTGAATACATGCGACAGAGAAATTCCGGTGCTCCTCCACCGAAAGCGGCTCTCCCGCGCTTCTTAGTTGCACGAAAGAAGCGCGCGACAAACAGGGCACTTACAAAGCAGATCTTGTTCCTCTTCGCAGTTGACGTGGTCCGTAGGTTCTACCGAGGGATCGAAGAGATCCAACACCGGATAGTCCATGATGCGCGCGGTGACTTTCTTCAGATTACGTCGTTGCGTGGCATCGGAGCGATGTGAAATTGACACGAGAATTGCGTTCCAATATTCCCAATAATGATCGGTCTCTTATCATAATACACCGCAGGTACGCGGCGTTCACAGTCACGCACGCACGCACGGCGGAACAGACGAATAAACACGCACCAACACGCACGTTAGTCGTCCTGGCAACTGTGCAACAAGCGAAACACTTTGTGCATTACTATGCTATTGCGAGCCGCTGGATTGAAAAACTCAACGATAGACAAGCGCATCGTAACACGTTTTTCTCGATTATATTTCTTTGCTATCCGTTCACCAAGAAAACTGCGCTTTTCGTCGTTTGTTGAGATGCGATTTAATTCATAATCGCATGTTCACGGTGTTCAGACTTCGCGATCAGACACAGATAGACAGAACCTGAGCACAGTAAGCACTAAGCAGTGAACCAGAGCGGAATGAGCAGCACTGAGAGTGATCATGCCGGTCTTTATTCTGTAACCGCAGGCGCAAAATGCCACCATGCATTAGCGCCAACTGAGAAAGTAGATATCAACTGCATAGTAACATCCATTTTTCTACTCTGCGGGTATACAATTTATAACATGCATCAACATCGATGAGATATTAAAGATGGTTGGCGCTTATAAAAGTTTGCGTGGTTGTAAGTGAGATCTACACAATAGATGTAGATTTTTAAGCCTCAAGCCGTAAGATATTAACCAATTGTAGTCGAATGCGAGGAGAATAACTAATTGTGATTCGTCTGTTCCTTCCCATACAGCATAGAAAATTGAAGCAATATTGCTGCAATGTTGCAATATTACAGATTGCAATGTAATACCGCAGAAGTATTACAGAAATGTAAATTAACAATATGCCTGCAAAATATCAGTAACATGCTTGTAATATTCCACAAACATTACAAAACTGTAATTCTTTAAATGTTACAATAATAATAATGTAAAAATAGAAGTTTTTACAATATTTATATAGTAC